GTGTGTGTGTGTGTGTGTGTGTGTGTGTGTGTGTGTGTGTGTGTGTGTGTGTGTGTGTGTGTGTGTGTGTGTGTGTGTGTGTGTGTGTATTCTGTGTCTGTGTGTGTGTGTCTGTGTATGTGTCTGTGTGTGTTATGTGTCTGTATGTGTGTGTATGTGTCTGTGTGTGTGTCTGTGTGTGTCTGTGTGTGTGTGTCTGTGTGTGTGTGTGTCTGTGTGTGTGTATGTGTCTGTGTGTGTTATGTGTCTGTATGTGTGTGTATGTGTCTGTGTGTGTGTCTGTGTGTGTGTGTGTGGGTGTGTGTGTGTGTGTGTGTGTGTGTAGTCTGTGTCTGTGTGTGTGTGTCTGTGTGTGTGTCTGTGTGTGTGTGTGAACACCTATGCCACGGTGAAAGTGTGGAAGTCAGAGGACAGCTCACAGGAGTCACCACTCTCCTTCCTTCCGCTGTGTGGATCCTGGGGATGGAACTTGTGTTGTCAAGCTTGATGACAAGAGCCTTTACTTACTGAGCTGTCTTTCCAGCCCCAGCTATGAATTTTTTTATTTTTCAATCAGGCCTGTAGGCACAGGCCTATAATATCTCGGTTTGGGAGGCTGAGGCAGGAGGATCAAAAGTACTACACCTGCGTGGGGCAGAGAGTGAGTTCAAAGCCATCATGTACAATTTATAGTGAGGTACTGTCTCAAAGCCAAAGTGAAAAGAGGACTGGGAAAACAGCTTAGTGATAGAGCCTTTGCCTAGTACATGAGATGCCCTAGGTTCAGTCCCCAATAACAGACAAAAGGAATCAGACGTAGTCACAAACCCCTAGGGTAGAGAGAGGCAAGCAGACCTCTGTGTCGGAACCAGCCTGAACTACATGGGGAGTCCCCGCCAGCCTTCCCTACCTAGTGAGATCCTGTCTCAGAGGGGAAAAAAAAATATTCTCACAAATAAACAGCACTAGCCATTGAATAGATGTTCATGGAAGTGTCTGTGTTTTCTGTGTGGGCTCTAAATCACGTCAGCTGACCTGGGAGGCAACTGATTTGTGGTTTCAGTGCTGCACATCTCCAGCAGGCCTCCCAGCAGATAGAAACACTACGTGCTGTGGCCTGTTCTGAGTTACGATTAGGTGGCTGTGTCCTAATCCAGGAAAAGATGGGTTCTTAAGGGAGTTGTCTCTGTGGACTCTGGTTTTCACTGCTCTTCTTCCCGGCAGCAAAAGCCGCTGATGGATACGTGAAGCCGCAGATCAAGCAAGTGGTCCCTGAGTAAGTGTCCAGGGCCCCGCGCTGCTCTCCCAGTGCGTCTCTGTCCACTCTGTGAGCCCCCCCCCCAGCACCCATCACTCTCTGCTGCTGAGTCCAGCAGTCCTAACACCCTGGTAAACCCAATTTAGTCTTTGAGAAGGAACTGAGTTCCATCATGCTGTGGCCAGGCCCCTGGGGTCCAGCCAACCTCCTATGTCCTAAAAAAGACATGAAGATGTCCTCAAACCCCTCCTTCAGTCCACATGGCTGAGACTGTGTTCTGCTTCCTTCTACAGGTTTGCTAATGCATCTACAGATTCGGGGAGTGGCGCTACCTACATGGACCAGGCTCCCTCTCCAGTAGTGTGCCCCCAGGCTCACTACAACATGTACTCACAGAAGTAGGTCAAGCTCTCGGAGGCATATGGGGAGGAACTAGGGCCTTGGCCTCAAGATGGACTTCCTGAGGCATGGAGTGGAGGGCAAAGGAACCTGTAGGTTCTCTGGACCTGACCTCACCCAGCCTAGGCCCAGGCTCTGGCCTGTGGGAGGGGGAGATTCCATCCAATATTTAAAGCATCAAGTGGCCATGAGCAAATGGCATCCCCTTGTCTTCTCTGAAGATGGAGACTTGCCGCTCTCTGTTAAGGACTAGGTGGAGTTTGGGTGTGTGCAGCTAGAATGGATACTGAGAACTGAGTCTCTGCAGACCTAGCCAGCAAAGGCCTCTGATTATATCAGGCGACCTTTCCAGTGAGGGCCTAGTTGAAGGGACAGCCCGGATCTCTCACCTGATTGGTTGTGGGGTTTCCAATGACCACTGATAACCTTTTGCCCTCCCCTTCATCATCTGTCTTTCCCTCTGAAGCCCCGACCCTGTCCTTGACACGGATGGAGACTTTGATCTGGAAGACACGATGGATGTTGCACGGCGCGTGGAGGAACTCTTAGGCCGGCCCATGGACAGCCAGTGGATCCCTCACGCACAGTCATGACCAGACCTCACCAGCTGCAGCTTCATCCTCGTGGAGGAACTTCTCGTGGATGTTTTAATTCCATGAATCGCTTCTCTTTGGAAACAATACTATAATGTGAAGTGTTAATACTAGTTGTGACTTTAGTGTTTCTGTGCATAGTGGCACCAGTGAAGGGCGTGAGTGTGTGTGTGTGTGTGTGTGTGTGTGTGTGTGTGTGTGTGTGCACGTGTTTGCACGTTGTGTTTTTCCCACCCCTTGCTGTCCAGTCTAAGCTGCAGTGCCAAGGCAGGGGCCAGGCTTGTTTTTACCTTGTGAAAAAAGGCAGTTGGTTCCCTGAACCCTGGAACCTGGCCATGTGTCTTAAGGGTGGCTGAACTTTGACACGTAAGAGAAGGACAAAGAGAGGAAAAAGCACCTCCTCTCTGGGGAGCCTTCGTCCCTCTGCCAGGCAGTCCATAGTCCAAGCAAATTATCATTGTCTCTGCCTGTCTTCTGAAATGTAGATGACTGTTGATGAAGAAAGCCAGTGCCTCACATGTCCCCTGTCCCCTTTGCACATATGGATGGAAAGGGGAGCTGTATAAAGTGTTGGGGCAAGGGTGGTCACAGGTTTTCGGATGGGTGGTGGCTGTTTCCACCACTGAACCCATCTCAACATTGGCTCCTTGTCCTCTGCTCCCTTAATCTCTTGTTTCTAGAATTGCCACTCAGTTTATGTGTATGTACTCATGTGGAAGGAAGAAGGGCCACCCAGCTCTGAGCTTACAGGTGATGCCCTGTGCTCTGCCAGCATGGGGTGGTGTACCCAGTCCTGGCCCCAGACATCAGGTGTGGCCCATCTGTGCTACCCTCCCCGCCTCTGCTGTGGCAAGGCTATGCCTGCATTACCCAAGGCTTGTCTAGAAGCTTGTTGATAATGGCTTTCTGCAAATGTCCAATGGTGTTTTTGTCTCTAAACCAGCTCTTTTTATGTTTTTCCCATTTGCACCCTAATTTGATGTCAAATTTCTCTCTTCCTGCATCAGGTCTGGGTCCTCTGTACCCAGGTCACCTCTTTTCCCTTCAGTGTCACAAAGTGTCCTGAGGAATAGCTGGTAGGAATTGTGACCTGCACCTGGGGCCAGCCTGCCAAGCGAGCAGCCACTACTATGGGGTGCTGGGTGCCGTTGGGAGTTGGGGAAATGCAGTCAGCAGGTTTGCTAGGAACTTTGGTAGACTGCAGAAGCAAAAGAAAAGCCTCAGTGCAATTTTCTTCCAGTCTCTGCAGTGTCACCAGAGGGAAGGAAGGGGCTGCTGTGGGCAGGCAGGGAGAGGGGCAAGCAGAGAGCGGTTACCACTCAGGCCTGCAAAGCCCTCTTTGGCTTCCTCTCCAAACAAGGGCAGAGCCACACCCAGGAGAGGAGGGCCCCAAAACCTTATTTTTATACATGCAAGTAAATAAACATATTTTTTTACAAAAATAACTTCTGAATTTATCAGTGTTTTACTGTTAAAGGAACATACTCCTGTGTCGTAAATTATTTATTGGAAGATGACTTTTTAAAAGCTGCTGCTTGCCTTGGCTGGGTTTTGTACACTGATTTTTTCTATGCCTGGTGGTAGCCTCTCTGCCTCGGGTGCTCGCTGGATGGAGGAGGTGTGAGGCCCCTCCCTACCCCCTCAGGAGAAAGCTAGAACTGCTTGAGGAATCCAGGCTTAAGGGACTCTTTACCCACCTGTCATGTGGCCTGTTTGTCCCAGTAACCCTCACAAGGGTGTGGACTTGACACACTTCTCGATTTATTGTGGACATGGCCCCAGGGCATGGGGATAGCAGAGCGGCCTGGCACACCTGGAAGGTTCCAAGCTTCCTCTCAAGTTGGATTGGAGCAGAAGGTACCAAACAGCAAGGCTTCCACACAGTTGCTTTGCTACCCTGGGTTTTCCTGAGGCTGTGCCTGGAGATGGGAGAGGCTGTTAACTGGAAGCTGTTCCCCCTATCTGCATGCTGGTCTCTCTCTTTCTCCACTCCTGCACACAAGGATGAGGCAAGGGCAGGTCTCCACCCGCCTCTTGCCTGCTCACAGACCCACACGTGAGTTCTGAGAGGTCTCAGCTTGGTGTGTGGCGTGTGTGGGGCTTTGTAGGGGTGGAAGGAGATTCAACGTGGCTAGCTCTTACAATGAAAATATTCTTTTATAATTTTTCTTTTTAACATGTTATTTCAGATACATATTTTAGTGTCGAGGCAGATTAGTATATAGCCACCAAAAAGTATTGTGTATAAATTGGGGCAGCCAGAAAATTGTGTATTTTATGTTACAATAAAGGCGTCTTCTGAAGGGCAGTGTTGAATCCTGTTTCCTCTCCATCACGTGTCAAGGGAGGGTGGCTTTAACAGGAAAAACGTTTTCAGTCATCAGTGTGACCTTAAGGGGAACTAATTGGGAGCTGCTAACGGCCTGAGATGATATGTCAAGGGCTTGATGGCAGACAGGGGCATCTCTCACCTTCCTTCTGGGAAATGTTTGGAAAACTGGACCGATAGCCATCTCAGATTCTCCGCAGACTCTTCCTGATGGAAAAATCAGCCCTAATTGAATGTGTTCAGATTCCTCCCATGATGGCACCATGTCGGGAAACTGGTTCCTGCCACCCCAGGTCGTTATCAAATACAAAAGAACATGAACAAAAAGTCATGGAAAGTTCGGGTTGGCCTTTCTTCCCCTCTTTTTTGTAGCATTGGGGCTTGAACCTAAGGTCTCACGCATGCTAAGGTAGCTAGCTCTCTACCACTTAGCTATGCCCCTTCATGCCCCGTCCTCCTCTTCTTTTGAGATAAGGTCTCAAATATTAACTCACTGTTTTTCTTCTCAGTCTCCAGAGTAGTGGGCCTGCATCCCAGCCCAGTATCTGGGCAAACAAACTCATGACAGTCAAGAGTTTAGGAAGGAAGAGGCCTTCAGCCCAAGGGAGCAGCGAATGTAGGCTTAAAGGGAAGCATGAGAGGGCTGGAGTCAAGGCATTACGTGTGGACTTTGAACTTCAGTTTGTGATAGAATTTCCTGCTTGGTGCAGTGTCCACCCTAACTTCTGCCCACTCCTCACACGTTCTCTGGAGATCTTGAGCCAAGGGCCATGCTGTGAGAGGTCTCTTGGAAGGGGACTGAGGCTGCAAGGCAGGAAGGGGGACTGAATGAAATGGTAGGAATGACCAGATTTCCATTTTAAGAAACCCTGTCAGGGTTACTATTGCTGTAATGAAACAATGTGACCAAAAAGCAAGTTGGGGAGGAAAGGGTTTATTTGACTTACACCTCCACAGCACTGCTCATCATCAAAGGAAGTCAGGACAGGAACTCAAACCTGGCGGAAATCTGGAGGCAGTAGCACTTGAAAGAGTGCTGCTTATGGGGCTGGAGAGATGGCTCAGTGGTTAAGAGCACTGGCTGCTCTTCCAGAGGTCCTGAGTTCAATTCCCAGCATCCACATAGTGGTTCACAACCACCTTGAGTGAGTCTGGTACCCACTGCTGGCACCTTCTATCTGCATGTGCAGACTGTATACATAATAAATAAAATCTTTAAAAAAAGAAAAAAAAAAGAATGCTGCTTGCTATCCATGGCTCAGCCTGCAATCTTATAGAATCCAGGACCATCAGCCCAGGAATGGCCCCACCCACAGTGGGCTTGGCCTTCCCACATCAATCACGAATTAAGAAAATATACTACAAGTGTGCCTATAGCTTGATCTCACCGAGGAACTTTCTCAATTGAGCCTTTCTCCTCTCCAGTGACTCTAGTTTGTGTCAAGTTGACATAAAACTTGCCAGCACACTCTACCATAAGGTTGGCGTGGTGGTACATGCCCATAATTCCAGCACTTGGGAGGTGGAGGCAGGAGGATCAGAAGCTCAAGGCCAAGGCCAACCTAGGCAACATAAGACGTTAGGGGAAGACCAGATGGTGGTAGCACACACCTTTAATCCCAGCACTTGGGAGGCAGAAGCAGGTGGGTCTCTGTGAGTTTGAGACTAGAATGTTCTACAGAGTGAATTCCAGGACAGCCAGGGTGTCCTGTCTTGAAAAGTCAAAAGAAGAAGAAGAGGAAGAGGAGGAGGAGGAGGAGGAGGAGGAGGAGGAGGAGGAGGAAGAGGAGGAGAAGAAGAAGAAGAAGAAGAAGAAGAAGAAGAAGAAGAAGAAAAAGCACTTACTCTCTTGCAGAAGGCCTGGATTTAATCCCCAGCACCCACATGGTGACTTACAACCATCTATAACTCCAGTTCCAGGAGATTCAACACCTTCTTCTGGCCTGTGGACATCAGACACATGCGTACATGTACAACCATGTAGGCAAACACTCATGCACAAAAAAATAAAAACAAATGCATTGTTTAAAAGAAAGAACAATCCTATTGCAGCTTCAGCAAGTGTAGCTTGAAGGGAGATGGAACGAGTAGTGAGGGAAAGCTGGGAGACCATTTCAGTAGTTCAAGCAAGAGAAGACGGTGTCATCGGGGTACCTATGGCCGTGGGTCTGAAGCATAGCCATAAACTTAATAACTAACATTGGAAAATGGTTGAAATCTAGACTCATTCCAAGTTTGAGGCTTGGAAATTGAGTTCTATGCTCCTCAAAGGGCTAGTACTGTAGTTCAATGGTAGAACTCTTGCCTCTTGTGCTGAGTTCAAAGGTTCAATCCCCAGGACAAGAAGAAGAAACAAACAAAGCACACCTTTTTGTCTTAGACAGATGTTTCTCACAGGGTGATGGGGAAGCAAAGCATGGCAGAGACGGAAGGGAACCGATGAGCGAAAAGCCTTGGAGTATAGATCTGAGTGTGGATACATTGTGAGAACACTGTGTACTGAGGCTGTGGCTGCATTGACTGAGTGTTTGCCTGGTATTCGCCAGGCTCTGGGTTTCACTCCCAGCAGTACCTAACTAGGTGTGGTGATGGTATATGCTCCTAATGCCAGCATTTGGGAGGTGGAGGCAGGCGGATAAGAAGTAACATGTTTGATACCATCCTGGGATAGACACCCTGTGTTCTGTGCTATTCAGGTACAACAGCTGTACTCTGTACTAGGGGGTTTGAATGAGATTATTAAGTTATAGCATGGAAAAGTAAATGAATGAATAACGAATAGTAGATACGTAGCAAACACCGAATCAGGAGTTTATAGCATCTGGAAGAGATGATGGGAGTAGCCTGATTGAGAGGGGATGTCATCAAGCTGAAGGCTTAAAAACATCCAGCAGGGGCTGGAGAGATGGCTCAGAGGTTAAGAGCACTGGCTGCTCTTCCAGAGGTCCTGAGTTCAATTCCCAGCAACCACATGGTGGCTCACAACCATCCCTTATGCGATCTGCTGCCCTCTTCTGGTGTGCAGATATACATGGAAGCAGAATGTTGTATACATAATAAATAAATAAAAAATCTTAAAAAAAAAAAATCCAGCAGAGATGGGGAAGCTTGGGCAAGCAAATAGAGTTCCTGATTGATATTCTCTCCGTCAATGAATGTACTCTTTTTTTTTTTTTTTTAAACCATGAGAAAGCTATGGTATTGGAAATGGCTTCTCCCTGTAGCTGTTCTCAAGGACATAACGTTTCTAGTTTGGGGCTGTTGTGCTGTTCTTCAATCTTTCCATTCCAGAGCCAGGGGACCAGCCTGCCCCAGGACACGGGGGCTTGGAGGACACATCATGCACATGCACACGCACGCGCGCACGCGCGCACACACACACACACACACACACACACACACACACACACACACACACACACACTCACCATAACAATCAAAATGTTGTTTTCTAAATATTTATCTAATTTTGTGTGTGTGTGGTGTTTTGCCTGCATGCATCTAAGTGCACTGTGTGTGCTTCGTGGCTGTAGCAACCAGAAGAAGGCGCCTGATCCCCTGGAACCAAAAGGAAACTGAACTGGGGTCCTCTGCAAGAGCAACAAGTGCTCTTAACCACTGAGTCATTTCTGCAACTTCCACACACTTTTCAAAAAGTGTAAGCATGAACACTTTCTAGATCATGCCATGGAATCAATATTGTCCCAATGCCAAAACCAGACTAAGACATCACAAGACCAACATGACTCATGAATGCGGACACAAACATCCGGCACATACGCTAGCAGATGGAATTCATCAACGTATAAAAGGAACTGCACATCACCAACCACAGAGTCAGATTTATCTCTGTGATTTGGAATGAGCTTGGCGTATGAAAGTCTATTTCAGAATCAATAGAATTAAGAATAAACGATGGAGAGGCTAGAAAGGTGGGTCAGTTGGCAAAATGTTTACTGCAGAAGCATAGGGCCAAAGACTGGAAGCCCAGCACCCATGCAAAACAATGGGTATAGGGCACATGGGTGTGCGTCCACGGTTGGGAAGGTAGAGACAGGGTCTATGGGGTTACCTGGCCAGACAATCAAGTCCAATCTATGGGATCCAGGTTCAGTGACAGACACTATCTTTAAAAAAAAAAAAAATTAAGATTAGGGCTGGAGAGATGGCTCAGGGGTTAAGAGCACTGACTGAGCCGAGTGTTGGTGGCACACACCTTTAATCCCAGCACTTTGGAGGCAGAGGCAGGTGGATCTCTGTGAGTTCAAGATCAGCCTGGTCTAAAAGAGATTGCTCCAGGACAGCCTCCAAAGCCACAGAGAAACCCTGTCTCGGGGAAAAAAAAAAAAAGATGCCCTCTTCTGGCTTGCACTGCATACATGATAAATAAATAAATCTTTACAAAAAAATTAAGATTACTCAGCGAGTGGTGGTGCATGCCTTTGATCCCAGCACTTGGGAGGCAGAGGCAGGCAGATCTCAGTTCAAGGCTAACTTAGTAGTCTGCAAAGCAAGTTCCAGGACAGCCAAGATTGCTCGGGGAAGGAACCCTGTTTCAAAAACGAGAAGAAAAAAAAAAAAAAAAAAAAAAAAACAAAACCAACACCACACAACACACACACATATATAGAGAGAGAATAATCAATCGGTGAACAACACCCAACATTGGTCTCTGGCCACTACACACTTCTGAATCACATATTCATGCGCACACACACACAAACTTACACACCTGAGCTGCTTCGGTGGTGCACATCTGTAATCCCAAAGGAAGGGAGACAGGAAGGAAGGAAGAAAAGAGGAAAGGAAGGAATGAGCAAATGAACAAAGACAGGAGGAGTTGACTATGATGATGCACACCTGTAATCCTAACATTCAGGAGACTGAGACAGACGGATTGTGAATCCAAGGTCAGTGTGAGCTGTGTAGCAAGACCCTGTCTCAAACACCTTTTAAAAAAGAAGAAAAGCTGGTGTGATGGCGCACACCCTTAATCCCAGCACTTATGAGGCAGGTGGATCTTTGACTCACTCTGTCTACAGAGTGAGTTCCAGGATAGCCAGGGCTACACTGAGAAGTCCTGGGGAAGGAGGGAAGGAGGGAGGGAGGGAGGGAGGGAGGGAGGGAGGGAGGGAAGACAAACAGTATGACCATTTCAAAAGAGGCAAAAACCTGACAGCTCCCATCACATTGGGGAAAAACTTCACGCTCTCACCTAAGATCAGGAACAAAATACGGAAGCAATCGTGATGCTCCTGGGTGGGAAAGCATCTTGTTGGCAAGTCCATTGCTTCAGTGGTATTGGAACCTACTTCTGTGGGATCCCAACATATATTGAAGAGACATCCAGCCTCAAGGACTGATTGGATTCTCGGGCCTTCTGTTGGTAGACAGCCATTGCTGGCCTACCTGAACCACAGCCTGTAAGACATTCTAATAAATCCCCCTTTCTCTCTTCTAGCACTCTGGAGACAGTAGCAGGGGGATCAAGGGTTCAAAGTCATTCTTAGCTACCGACAAGTTCAAAGTCAGCCTGGGCTACATAAGAAGTGGCAGGAGGGGATGTGGAGATATGACCCAATAGTCAAGGGCACTTGACTGTTGCCTTTCCAAAAGACGTGAACTTTTGTCACCCCTATTGGGTGGCTTACAATCACCTGTGACTCAAGCTCCAGCCTTCTTCTGGATTCCACAGGCACCTACACACATGGAGACACACGGAAGCACATAATAAATAAGTATTTGGGGCTGGAAGGATGGCTTAGTGGTTAAGAGTACTGGCTGCTCTTCCTGAGGACCGAGGTACCCTCTGTCCCTAGCAGCTGAGCTGGCCCCTAGAATACTGGCCCTTCTTGCCCCTCTGTGCTGCTGCCCCTCAGGCCCTGTTCTGTGCAGCAGTGTAACTGCTCTTAGCAGCCAGCATTACAGTGCACAAAATTACCCTAGGCCATCAGGTCACCTTGTGGAAAACTTGCCTGGAAAATTGATTCCCCTTTTTGAGACTTTTTACAACCCTTTAGGTATCCAAAAACAAAAAAACAAAAGAACAAAAAAAACTTAATTTTCTTTAAAGTAATACTAAAATTAAGACTAAATTAAATTACAATACATCTTAGCCTAACTCTGAAAAAGTCCTTATCATTTCTGAACATAGATAAGATAAAGTTAAGAAAACAAAAAACTTGCTGGGCGTTGGTGACTCACGCCTTTAATCCCAGCACTCAGGAGACAGAGGCAGTCGATCTCTGTGAGTTCAAGGCCAACCTGGTCTACAGAGCCGATTCCAGGACAACCTCCAAAGCAATAAAGAGAAACCCTGTATTGAAAACAAAACAAAACAAAACAAAAAACCAAACAAACAAAACTACAACAAACAAAAAAACTGTACACAGTACCAAAGGACCAGGGTTCAATTCCCACCCCCCATATGGCACCTCACAACTGTCTGTAACTCCAGGTTCAGGAATCCAGCACCCTCACAGACACACATGCAGGCAAAACACCAATGCAAATAAAATAAAATATAAGCTAAATAAATATTTCAAGTGTGTTTTTCCTTGAGATAAAGTCAGTGAGTACACTCAGTCCACTGATAAATTTGGCCAAACTATATCACATTCAGGTTTAGCAATTTCTTTCTTTCTTTCTATTTATTTATTTTTCCTTTTTTTTTTTTTGGAGCCTATCCTGGCACTTGCTCTGGAGCCCAGGCTGGCCTCAAACTCATAGCACCCCCCCTGCCTCTGCCTCCCGAGTGCTGGGATTAAAGGCGTGCGCCATCAATGCCCGGCTATTTTTATTTTTCAACACAGGATTTCTCTGTGTAGCATGACTGTCCCAAAACTCTCTCAGTTAGACCAGGTTGACCTTTAACTCACAGAGATGCACCTGCTTTTGCCTCCAGAGTGCTGGAATTTAAAGTATGCACCACGATGTCTAGCTATTGTTTATTCTTCTTCTTTTTTTTTTTTTTTTTTTTGATGCAAACAGCACGAGGATTTATTGCAGTTGTTTAACGAGCTAACCCCATGTTAGCTCTGGCCTTTCATCCATCCACCGTGGCAGATGGCTGGGAAAAGGCCTATTGTTTATTCTTTAAGTCAGGATCTGGCTGTGTAACCCAGACTAGCCAGGATTGTACTCGAACCATTCTTTTTCCCCAGCCTCCTAAACGCTTTGTGCCCACTGCACCCTGGAGGATTTTTCTTTTTCCTTTTAAAGACAAGACCTCCATGTAGTTCTGGCTGGCCTTGAACTTGTTCTATAGCTGAAGATGACCCTTAGCTCCTTAGTCCTCTTGCTGCCTGCCACATTCCTGAGGACTGGAACAACAAGTGTGCACAACCACACCTCCACAGCTGTGGTTTTTAGCTGTTCTCAAGTCTGAGCCTGCTCCAGGATAGAGTTCGAACACTCTTTCCGTACACCTTCCTTTCTCTTTCTTAATGATCAGGCTACCCTGGTCCTAACTCCTTCATCTGCCCAACTTGTCACCCTTTAGATGACCTGTTCCTTTAAGAGCACCTCCCTCCAGACCCGCCCAGTCAGGCCGGATTTCCTGTCTAAACCCTGCCCTTTAAAGTCATCACTCCAACTTTCTGGCCTGCTGTGTACAGAAACCAGAGACACTGCGGGATCCTGGGGGATCTGGGGTGCTGAAAGTAGGCAGAAGTGGCCTGTGACAGGTGCATATAGACCCAGGGCTCTGGGGGGGAAGGGGACCAGGACAGGGAAGGTCCCAAGAGAAAGTAAAGTCACTTGGGAGTGGGTAACTATGTCCCCCGAGGGGAGCTGTTGGGCTGTTCTTCCCAGTACAGGACTAGGGACCGGAGGATGCCAGTCAGTAGGACACCAGAGTCTCTTCCATGCTGCCTGCCCAGCAGGACCCTGGCTTCCTCCCACTGGCTTCTTCCTTGGTTTTCTGTGTGCAGCAGAGTGTGGGGGAAGACATGGGTATCCCCTCAGGCCCCACTCTGTTCTTCTCCCAGGAGCTACTTGGAGATGCTGCTGCTATGGCCACTGCCGCTGCCGCTGCCGCCGCCGCTGCTGCTGCTGCTGCTGTTGTTGCTACTCCCACTGGCCATGCTGTGGCAGCAGAGGCGGCGGGCCAGACCATCCTGGCTGGCCCGCCTCCAACACCAGGTGGCCTGGGGGGCACTGGGCTTGGCAGCCGCCTGGCAGCATCGGAAACTGGAACAGAGCACACTCCACGTGGGCCAAAGCCAGCAGCAGGCCCTCGAGTGGTGTCTGAAGAAAGCCCAGGGTTCCTGCTGTCTCCCCAGGGGGAGTACAGGTGTGTGTTTGTGGCGCCTGGGGGAAGTGACCCAAAGAGAAAGAAAACAAAAAGAAAAAAAACACACACACACACACACACACACACACACACACACACACACACACACACACAGATTCTAGACCCCAAAGGCCCCTTCATTTACTACCAGTATGCTGTGACCTGGTCCAGAGCCCTACCTTGGCCCATGCTTGATTGTCCTATTAAGATGGATTTTCTTTTCCGGGCCCTGTTCTAGCCTTCACCCCATTTCTCAGACCGTTTCTGGGTTCCTTCCTCGAGGGTCTCCACATTCTTCTCACTTCCTGAGAGTTTCTGGTATTTTGAGGGCTACAGACTTGAGCACCTTCCGGAGTCATCTCCCACTGACCAAAACCAGGCAAGCCAAGGAGGAAGAGAGTGAAGAGAAGCTCCTGTCCCCTGCCCCCCTCCAGGACCATAGAGAGGCTTCTCTTCAGGTAAACAGAGGCACCCCTACTGCACAGCAGCAAACCCTTGCCGAAAGATATGCAAAGAAGGCCCACAGTAGTAGCTGGGGTCCAATTCTGAAGTCTGAATGACTGTCCCTTTTATATCCCTCCAGGCCACCCTGCTGGGTCTAGTCACCCTAAACAAGGCCTACCCAGAAGTACTGACTCCAGGAAGTACTGCCTGTGTGACCCCTACATCACCATGGCCCAACTCTGTCCCCTGGCTCAGGCATGCCCTGGGCCGGGTAAGCCCCCTTGGAGCCAAGGACTCTCAGACCCTGCTGCTGGAGGCACTGATATCCCCAGGGCTGAGGGCACTGGAGGCAAGGACTGCAGTGGAGCTCTTGGATGTGTTTGTGGGCCTGGAGGCAGATGGCAAGGAAATGGCTGAGGCCATAGCAGCCGGGAACCTAGGAACACCTCTCCCTAGCCGAGCAGCTGAACTACAGGAAGCCCTGGAGCAGGGACCCCGAGGATTGGCCCTTCGGCTGTGGCCAAAGCTGCAGGTCGTGGTGACCTTGGATGCAGGAGGCCAGGCAGAAGCTGTTGCTGCCCTCAGGGCCTTGTGGTGCCAAGGGCTAGCCTTCTTTTCTCCTGCTTATGCTGCTTCTGGAGGTCAGCTTGAAACAGGGATTGGATGCAGGTAGGGCTGGGGGCAGAGGTCATGCAGCTAGCTACTATGCATTGAGCCGCATATACACTGATCTTCTTGAATCCTTCTTAATTCCCCGGGATGGTACAGGTTACCAGTTCTGACTGACAGTTGAGCATGCCAAGGTTCATTGAAACATAGCATCTCATACAGACTCATGGGGTACCAGGATTTGCTTTCTTCTCTGACCCTTGTGGAACCACAGCATCTCTGCTTGCCTCTACCCAGTGAAGACCAGGAGGGAGCAGGCTGGACAGGGGTGGGGGTGGGGTGGGGTGTTAATCCAGAAAAGCTGGAGCAGGAGGACCAGATGTTCAGAGGGGCTGGGCCTGTGGTCCAGAGTGAGGCTTTGATTTCTGCTGTTGCCTGGCAGAAAGGAGTACACCACAAGGTTGACAACAACAATATTTATTTATTTATTTATTTATTTATTTATTTATTTATTGTTCTCTATAGGGGTGATGGCCCTAAACCTGTGGCCGGAGCAACCCCAAGGATTCTATCTTCTGCCCCCTGGAGTCCCCTTTATTGAGCTGCTTCCAGTCAAGGAAGGAACCCAAGAGGAGGCAGCCTCCACTCTCCTTCTTACTGATGTCCAAAGGGAGGAAGAGTATGAACTGGTGCTGACCGACCACGCCGGCCTGACCAGGTGATCCCCTACTGGCCTCAGTCACCTCTGGTATCCTGCCCTTGGGAGGGGACACAAGCTCACTCTTCTACCCCATTCCACTCATCAGGTGCCGCCTGGGAGATGTGGTACGGGTGGTTGGTGCCTACAACCAGTGTCCTGTTGTCAGCTTCACCGGCAGGTAGGCAACCCTGGAGGTGCCAAGAGGCTGTCCCTGTGCCTTGGGTACATACACGCCCTCCCCCTTTTTCCTTCAGGCTGGGACAGACTCTGAGTGTTCGAGGAGAAGTTACTGATGAGAATATATTCTCTGCTGCCCTGGCCAAAGCAGTGGGGCAGTGGCCAGGGGCCAAGCTGTTGGACCATGCCTGTGTGGAGAGCAGCATTCTGGGTAAGCATTTCTAGCTGCTCCTATCTCCATGTCTTGGGTCTGGCTATCCCCCAACCCATGTTCACCCTGACTGGAGACATCTAGAAAGGAGATTCAACTCAGTCTTCTCCACTGTTGCTAGCAGAAGTACCTCTCTATTTCTAACTCCTGCCCCTGCCCCTGCGATCTCCATCCGTCTTCATTCCTGACCTGTGTCATATCCACCAGTTGGTTCTAGGTCTTCCTGTATTTGCTAACTGCCACCAAGAACCCTTCCTCCCCCTTCCCCATGAACCTTGGACTAGGGAAGAAGTAAAGGCAGAGGCTAGTGGCTCTGGCAGCCGCCCTGTCCTCAGGAAGTGTGTGTTCGGGTGGTTATTGTCCTCAGACCCCTGTGACGGTTCTGCCCCGCACTACGAGGTGTTCATGGAGCTGAGGGGATTGAGGAATCTGTCGGAGGAAAATCGAGACAAGGTAAAAGATGAGACCAGGGTCTGATCCTAATACAAGCCCTCCCCGGTTGTCATGGAGATGAGAGAGTTCAGAGAAAGGGGTACCAGGGAGGGGGGAAACCCCTCTTCAGGGAATCTGGGAAGGGAGCAGGTCCTACAACACACACTTCCACACCAGAGTCCTAAGTGCAGGTAGCCTCGGGCATGGTTATACACATCTCCTATGCATGCCTTGGCAGGGTAGCCTCACCCCACTGTTCTGCTCCTAGCTTGACCACTGCCTGAAGGAAGTCTCCCCTCACTACAAGTCTTTGCGGTTACGGGGCAGTGTGAGTCCTGCCAAAGTCCATCTGGTGAGACCAGGGAGCTTCAGAGTACTCCGGGAAGCACTAGCAGCCTGCCCCTCCTCCTCCTTCCCTCCTGAAATGCCTCGGGTCCTCAGGCTCGGTCACCTGGCCAAGCTCCTGCAGAAGAGGGTGATGTCTTAACCAAGGCAGCTGTTGCCAGGCTTCCCTCTGCCACCTCGCCCTTTCCTCTGGGGTGTCTCCAGATGCTGAGTCCTGGACCAGACGTCACAGAATACTGGCCCATCAGAGCCACCGGGCCTTAGGGAGGCCTTTGACTCATTGGCCAGTTTTAAGGTGGAGGCTTTGGGCATACAGCAGAACCCAGAAGTGCCCTACAACTGTCCCCCTCAGCCTACCCTATGTGACACTGATGAGGAGCTCTGATGCAGCCTGGTGGCTGCCTGTATCTCAGCGCCTTTCATGTGCTTGACCAGGGTAACAGTGTGGGCTGAAAGTGTAGGTAATGCTCCCAGAGTGGCTCCTTAAGGAGCAGGAGCAAATGAATAAAGACCTCAGCACCGTTGTCTCCTGGTCTGAGGTATATCTCGCACAATCTCCTGAAAGGACGAGGCTGGCCCACAGGAGTAACCCAGTGTTTAATAGTCTTCCTACCAGCAATCCTCCTTTCCCTCCCTTTCCCATTTTACCATTGGGCTCCCTGGATCAATTCCCAAATAAAACTCTTTTAAAAATATTTATGTATTTATTTTATCCGTGTGTGCCTGCGTGTGTGAGTGTTTTTTATGTGTGTGTGTGTGTGTGTGTGTGTGTGTGTGTGTGTGTGTGTGTGTGTGTGTGTGTGTGTGTGTGTGTGTGTGTGTGCACCATGTGTGTGCAAATGCCTCCAGAGGCCAGAAGAAGATAGTGAATTCATTGGAACTGGAGTTACAGGCTGAAGGCAGAGTTTTCCCGTCCTGGGAGCTGCTTCCAAATTACCACACAGTGGGTCTCCCTTGACTGCTCTGACTGCCCTGACTCCACCCTTCTCTCCCAGCATTCTCTCTGTGTCAGGCTGTCTTGCCCAATCTCTTTCTGCCCTGCTATGGGCAATCAGCTTTATTATTAACAACGAGCATAATCCACAGCAACAGGCATTTGAGAGCTGCTATGTGGGTGCTGGGAACCAAACACAGGTCTTCTATAAAAACATCAAGGACTCTTGGTTGCTGAGTCATTTCTGTAGGCCCTCAAATAAAATTCTCATACCCAGATTCTGGACACTGCTGCTTTGGGAATGCAATGTGGTTCCCAGGCACTCTACTTCAGCTACAGCCTGGGTTCCCCTCTGGAGCCCAGCCAGCCACCCCTAGCTGAGCTCCAGAGCTTTTACCTCCTCTGTACACCGGCTTAGGCTAGCTCCAAGAGTGTGAGCACACAGGAACTTCTGAAGGCTCCCACTACAGCTTAACAGGACCAAGCAGACAGATGCCCTTTGCCCTCCCATCCCAGCATAGCCTGAAGGTGAAGGGGCTGTTTGTTCCCAGCTTCTCCACCCTGCCTCAGCACTGGGCTCCTTCCTGGCCTAGCCTGCACAAATCACTTCCAGGATGAGAAAAGAGGAAGCTAGGCTTTCAGTCACCAAGTGTCACAGCAGGAAGGAGCCTCCAAGCTCCCTGCAGAAAGTGCCCATAGCAGTGAGGGAGCTAAGCCTCAAGGCTGGGAGGCCAAGTCCTGCAGCTCCTCCCAAGCCAAGGCTGTGCTAGTCCGGAGCATCATCCAACTTTCAGTTATGCCTCTGAATCGTTTCTCTGTCCTCCTATGTCCCCGCCTGTGGGCTCTGCCCTCTTCTGTAGCCACTCCCCATAAGCCTTTTAAAGTCCTCCAACAATGACTGCCCAGCCTGGCAGGTAAGGCCCTGGAAAACTTTACCCAACTTACTCCCTTTAGTTCCATAGAAACTATGAGGCCCACACCCCATGCCGTGTGAGTCAAGCACTGTCACATCCAGGCATTTCTTCACTTTGTCCCTTCTTGTACATACTCTGTTCCCTTGCCTACCTAGTGGAAGCTACTTTTCAGGTAAAGCCTTTGAGCCCCACCCCCCACCCCCATATGTCCTACCCAGAAGGAAGTGACTGTCTAATCTTCTCTGGTTCTGAGTACCTCTTTCCCTGCATTGAACTATCCTTGGACGCAGATGCCACCCCCACCCCCACCAAGACTTGTGTGCTTCTTGAAAGTGGGGACATGATGGCTGGGGAGATGGCTCTATAAGAGCACTTATTGGGGGTGGAGAGATGGCTCAGAGGTTAAGAGCACCAGCTGCTCTTCTAGAGGTCCTGAGTTCTATTCCCAGCAACCACATGGTGGCTCACAACCATCCGTTTTGAGATCTGGTGCCCTCTTCTGGTGTGCAAATTGCAAATATACATAGAAGCAGAATGTTGTATACATAATAAATAAATAAAATCTTAAAAAAAAAAAAAAGCCGGGCGCCCCCCCCTTTAATTCAAGCCCTCGGGAGGCAGAGTCAGGCAGATCTCTATGAGTTCGAGACCAGCCTGGTCTACAAGAGCTAGTTCCAGGACAGCCTGTCTCGAAACCCTGTCTCGAAAAAAAACCAAAAAAAAAAAAAAAAAAAAGCACTTACTACTTTTGCAGAAGTCACGGGCTTGGTACAAGCTCAAAACCATCCATAACTCCACTTCCAGGGAATCTACAACCTTTTTGTTTGTGTGTTTGTTTTTTTCTTTTTTGGTATTCACAGGTACCAGGCACACATGTGGTACATATCCATATATACAGGCTAAGAAAATGGGGTCACAGTCAGGCACTTAATCTCAGCACTGGGGAGGCAGAGGCAGGCAGATTTCTGAGTTAGAGACCAGCCTGGTTTATAGAGTGAGTTCCAGGACAGTCGGGGCTACACAGAGAAACCCCCTCTTAAAAAAGAGAGAGAGAGAGAGAGAGAGAGAGAGAGAGAGAGAGAGAGAGAGGGAAGGAAGGAAGGAAAGAAGAGAAAGAAAATAAGGTCACATTTTAAGCACACTGCTGTCACTGTGCTCATGCAGAACTGATCTATATCAAGAGATCCTTAAGGAGGCCTTGACAGAGAGCTTTCTTGGTCTGCAAGTGGCATGAGTCGGTTTCCCTTATCCAACATCCATCACCCTCACGCCCTGTTCCATGATGGTTCAATCCTGGAGATGGCAGAGTAAGACTTCAATATCTTCTTGTGTGGCCCAGGAGACATTGCTCTCCACCAGCTTCTAGAAACCAGGCTTGGCTGCTCTCTCATCCATCGCCCACAGTAAGTCTCCAAGACTTTCCATGGAGGAGTTTGGTGAAAGGGACAGAGGAAATGGAGAACTGTGGGGTGGGGAGGGCCGGTCAAGAGCTGTTTCCATGGAGGGAAAGGCCCTGGAAACTGATGGACCCCAGAGTCAGTGACAAGGAGCTGGGGGGGGGGGTGAATGCTACCCAGGTATCCTCCCTACTCCCCCACCCTCTACATACCGTGAACAATGAACAACGGTTCTCAGGCTGCCACTTTTTCTGCCCCTAATTAGTAACCACCCCCTCCCCCATTGTCTCTGGCCAGTGCCCCAGCCACTGCCTCTTTTGTGAACTCAAGATTCCTGGGTGCAAGGTAGCCTCATTAGTACCAGGAGACCGTCCCATCTCCAAGGAACAGGCAGACAGACAAGCGGGGGACCAAGGACAGGGCAGCCATTCTTTGGGTCCAACCTGGAGACGGCTCCACTGCAAGATGCTAATCTTAGACATGCCTTTGTCTGGTTTAAAGTGGACACAAATGCTCATGTCTCCCCTGCCCTCCCCAACACCTCAGAGCACTATAAACCCCTGGCCCCTGGAAGCAGGCCACAGTCGACACGGCATCAGTCTTCTTGGGTATTTGGACCTCTGCACTGAAGACATCATCTTTCCAGATTCTCCTGCCCTGAACTCCAGACACCATGAATCTTCTTTCTACTAAGGTAAAGAGCTAGGAATAGGGCTGAGCCTCATCAAAGCAGGCCACTGGAGTGCTTGCACTGAGGCAGGAGTCTGGGTGGGATCTTGGCAGGCAGGCAGCCTGCTTGGTTAACACTAGTCATGCCAGTTATTCTCTTAGAGGCTCATGTTTACAGAGCTTTTTCGCTTGTCAGTTTATGTCTTCCACTCAACAACATCAGGTAATAGGGATGGCTCAATGCCTACTTTGTAGTGAGGAAGGGGCTGCCCCAAGGGGATAAGAAACTGGTCCATAGCCACAGTGTTCAGTTTTCCCAAGCAAAGGCAAAGTCCTGCTGTGTGTGTAGAGGGAAGGACTACACTAAATAAACTCTTTGTTTCTGCTAAGCTTACATGTTTGGTTCAGACAGACTCAGACACACCTGTCTGCAGGTGGAGGAGTAAGCCTTTAAATATGTTTCCAAGGGACAAACTTATTCTACTGGTGAAAGTCTATGACGGTTTCCTAGAGGAGATGGCTAGTCCATGGATTGAAGAATGAGTTGACAAAGGAGCCAGATGCAGGAAACACAGTGACAGCCAGGCACAATCTCAGGCAAGGAGAGGTTCGGAGCTGACTGAGTAAGGACTGAAACCCATTCGCGCCTTGTCTCTTGTCCCCTTTAGGTTCCCTGGGCCGCCGTGACGCTGCTATTGCTACTACTGCTGCCGCCAGCGCTGCTGTCGCTTGGGGTGGACGCCCAGCCTCTACCCGACTGCTGTCGCCAGAAGACCTGCTCTTGCCGCCTCTACGAACTGTTGCACGGCGCTGGCAACCATGCCGCGGGCATCCTGACTCTGGGAAAGCGGCGGCCTGGACCCCCAGGCCTTCAGGGCCGGCTGCAGCGCCTTCTGCAGGCCAACGGCAACCACGCTGCGGGCATCCTGACCATGGGCCGTCGCGCAGGCGCAGAGCTAGAGCCACATCCCTGCCCTGGTCGCCGCTGTCTGTCCGCAACCGCCACTGCTTTAGCGCCCCGGGGCGGGTCCGGAGTCTGAACCTGTATTCAGTCTGTGTCCTGGTCCTATCTTCTCCCCTCTGCTCGCTAGTGTTAGTCTCTAGGAAAACGGCAATAAAGACGAGTCTCTGTTGGTGTGGCTATTCTTTGTTCCCGTGTGTCAAGTTCAGGCCTCCAGGGGGCGGGGAGGGGCGGGAAAGCATCTTGAGAACTGTGAAGGCTCTAGGGCTCCAGAAGGAGCTTGTGTTTTTTGTCCTAAATACTTGGTCGGGAAGAACCCAGTGCAAGGAGCCTTGAAGAGTCTTGAGGTGCAAGCCTGGGGTGGGGGAGTGGAAGTGAGGTACCAATGTGTCCCGCGTTGTTCTACTATCTACTTTATTGGTTTATTTCTTTTAAAAACGGGTCTTGGCCAGCCAGTGGTGGCCCACGCCTTTAATCCCAGCAGAAGCAGACTCTGTGAGTTCGAAACCAGCCTGATCTACAGAGCTAGTGCCAGGATAGGCTCCAAAGCTATACAGAGAAACCCTGTCTCGAAAAACAAAAACACACAACAAAACAAAAAACCAAACCTGGGTCTTACGTATTCCAGGTTGTCCTCAAATGACCAGAATGACCTTAAACTTAAATGATCCTTAAACCTTAAATGATCCTACTGCCTCTACCTCCCCAGGGCTGTTGAAATTGCAAGTGTGCTCCACCACACCTGGCTTATGCAGTACTGGGGGACTGAATGAACTTGGAGTATATTAAGCAAGCACTCTACCAACTGAGCCACAGCCTC